GGCCTCCCGGCCCTTCAGAGGCTCCGGGGAGGAGGGTGGGGGTGTGCAAGCCACCGATGGCGCCCAGGACACTGTCCCCACTGCCCCGGGGTCCCCCGTCACTCAGGAGTTCCCCCCTCTCCATCCCGCCCCTGCTGCTGCCTCCAAAGGGCCCTGGGGAGAGCAGGGGTCCCCTAATGCCACTTCTCAATGCTCCACAGAGCAACTGTTTCGCAGGGCATTTTGCACCTGCGGCACGGTGTAAAGGCAGACGTCCTCCTCCAGCACCGAGCTGCCTCCCCGTGCCTTTGCCTGAAGAGGGGGATTTGTTCCGAAGGAGGAGTTGCGTACCTCCAGCAAGCTGAGCTGCCAGGAGATGTTGTAGGGTCGGAAAGCTTCGCTCAGCGCCCGGTGCTGAGCATTTGGCTTCGAGGTGCGGGGTTTGATCAGCCCCTGCCCATGCCCAGCCAAGGGCATCTCCCCATGGGCATCGCCTCCCGGGGCAAGATTCGAGGAGGTTCAACATGCCAATGACGGTTGGACTTGATGATCTTAGAGGTCTTTTCCAACCCTAACGATTCTATGAACCCACACCTTCCCAAATCCTGCTGCTCACACCTAGCAGCGTTGCCTCCTTCTCCCCACCCCAGCGCTCAGGCAAAGGCAATTTGAAGAAAAATTAAAGAACTGGGTTTTAAACACGTCCAGGGAAGGTGGGGAATGGGCAGCGATCCCCCCGCTGCATCCTGTGCAGGGGGGTCAGGGAACGCCGCACCCTTGGCATGGGGCTGCTCTGCCCACCCCGAGGATGCCCACGGTCCCACTGGTGTGTCGCCAGGACCGGCACTGGGAATCTCACTGGGGAGGGTTCCCCATCAGCCTCTGCAGATTTTTGGGGAGGAAAACCACTTAATGGCATCACAGAGGGGTTCCATGCCATGCCGTAGGATTTGCTTGCCCTCGATGGCACAGCATACGCGTCCCCACAGGAAAACGTCCCTCCACCTTCCCACACTGGAAAGCCGCCGGTCAGAAGCAACACCGAGGTGCAGAGCAGGGGTTGGGGAGAGGGTGCACCCCATCCCTTGACGTGCCACCCCCCCCCAAGCCCCACACCTACCGCTGGGGCGAGTCGGGGTCGAAGCAGGTCCTGGTCACGTCGGTGGCCCACGGGTCGCAGCAGTCGCCATCATCGAAGTCATCCAACATGTTGTTGCACTCCATGTGGCAGACGCCGTCGCGGC